ATTGCGGGTGCTATCTCTGAACGAGCTACTCTCCAAATCTAAGTGGCTGTTTCGATTACTTCGTGACGGTTTTTTCCAGGGAACGGACGAATGGCGTTGTTTCGAGCGGCTACCGTACCTTGAAGTCAAGCACTCGCGCTCACCTTCCTCATGCCTAAGGCCCAGCTTTATACTATCTTTTCAAGCTGAGAGAGAATATAAGAAATCTTTTTGCATCATTCGAATCTATACAGTGAAAGTTATTCAGTATTATTTTATGCATTTCACCTCGACAACTGTGATCACAGAAAACATGATTTTAGACGCATATAATGGAATCACATCGTATACCCTTCAATATGGGATCATTTCGACTAGGAAATGTGAAGCGAAAAATAACGGAAATTGTACAAAAGCGCTTGATAAGTGTACAATGTTGTAAAAGAGTCATATCACATAAAGAACGTGAGTGAAGTTAAGTCATGAAAAAGCAAAGCAAATATCTAGCCCGTATAGAAGAGAAAGGAGGAAAGTGGTTAAGAGATGAGCGCTTGACAATCACGAGGTCCACTCGATCGGCACCCATTGTGGTTCGGTTTCCAGACGTTTCAAGATGGATTTCATCTCATCTAACGTCCTGTCGAAATCCGTGTTCACGATGATGCTGTCGAAAAGGTGCCCGAATTTCTGCAAACAACGCCGGTGAATCTCCACTCTTATATATCTGCACAGAAAAATCAAAGTACTGAAAAAATATCCCACCTGCTCTATAGTCTTTCCCTGAGTTAAAATACTCTTTAGCTCTTCATCCTTGACGTTAAAAAGACCTGCACACTCCTTTTGTCTTCGTAACGTTTGAAGCGAAGGGGGAGCGATGAAGAGAATGAAACGGCATGATGTCTGCTGTCCTCACAGCGATCAACGACTGCAAATTGGAATCCATAAAGGTGATAACACTCAACATACAGGACTGTGTTGCACAACTTTCGATTTTGGGCAACTCAGTCAATAAGCCTTTATCAAACCCATAACTTCAAAGGCAGTTGGCACGATAAATCCTTAAGACGGTAAGAGGTAAAACGCCTGCAGGACGAAATTCCGCGACCCTGAGCAGGCGCTGCGTAGCGCCTTTTCCAAGGAAGGTACCCTTATAAGGCCCTATCAAGCTACAACATACCGACCCGAACGCCCACCGCGCCCGCCCGCCCACAAATGGACGACCGTTCCTGACGCTCGTATTGAACAATTGCT